AAAAGAAAAAAAAAGAGGAAAAAAAAAGAAACCCTTCTGAAGGGGTAAAAGTCCCTAGATTCCTGAGTTTCTAAGGTAAGTTCAGATAAAATTTGCTCTATACTTAGGGAGGTTCAAGTAAGTTGAGAAAAACAAAGTGGTGGACAGACTATTGATATTCAGGGGGAAAAAACTACACAGAACATGTCTGTTTAAAGAGCTCTTTTGGAGTACTTGATCCCACCCCCCAAAGTTGAATCTACTTTTTTACAATTTGGAATATAAAGGAAACTGATGGCATTGAGTTGGACTGCTAGAAATAGGAGATTTCTGCCAGGAAGTGACCCTCACTTTGTCTGACTTGCATTCTGAGATAATTGTACTGCTTCCTGGGAGAGATAGCTCCCTTTCTCACTTAAAACACAGTCATCCATGTCTGTTCTCTTTCCATTGGAACTCACTGGGGAGAAAAGGCAGACAGACCAAAGTCTTGGAAAGAACTGGGGACACAGGAACAGAGATTCATGTACACATGTAATAGATAATAGGAAAATATTAAAAAAATAAGTTTTACCTAAGTTGTTTCAGCATCAAAACAATCTTTTTATTATTTAGAGTAAAACATTTTTAAATATCATATGAGTGAATATATGTCTACAGTTCTTTTAAGAACTGTGGAAAAGGGGAAGAACAAAATTTTTATCTTTTAATTAGAATCCTTTTTAGAGTTCTTAAAATTTGATGTCAGAAAACATACAATAAGAGAGTATTTAAAGTGTTATACAAAAACAAAAAACCCATTAGCCAGAAATTTTTTAAATTTTTTCTTTTTTTTAAGTTTATTTATTTTTGCAGAGACAGACAGACAAGAGCATGAGTGGGGGAGGACCAGAGAGAGAGGGAGACACAGAATCTGAAACAGGTGTCAGCACAGAGCCCGACGCGGGGCTCAAACTCACAGACAGCGAGATCATGACCTGAGCCAAAGGCAGGTGCTCAACCAACTGAGCCACCCAGGTGCCCCTTATTTGCTCACTTAAATGTGAGTTCTTGGGAGCCGAAATTGTGTCCTACACAACTTTTTATTGTCAGCACCTAGCAAGTGCCAGTTTTGGCACTTATAAGAGCCAAATTTGTAAGTACTCAGTATTTTTGGGATGAACGAATTACAAGCAATAAAATATCAAGCAGTGTTCTCAAATTTTGACATGCAAGTTTTTGGAGACTGTGTTTATTCATTTTTTTAATGTTTATTCATTTTTTGAGAGAGACAGAGCATGAATGGAAAAGGGGCAGAGAGAGGAAGACACAGATTCAGAAGCAGGTTCCAGGCTCTGAGCTGCCAGCACAGAGCCCAACGCAGGGCTCGAACTCACGAACTGCGAGATCGTGACCTGAGCCAAAGTTGGAAGCTCAACCAACTGAGCCACCCAGTCGCCCCTGGAGACTGTGTTTAAAGTGCAACTTCCTAAGCCTCTAACCCCAGAGAATGATTTACTAGGAACTTACATTTTCGTAAGGTACCCCCCACCCCCACCCCACAAGGTGATTTCAGTGCAGTGCTCTTGGTACCATGTTTTGAGAAACACTGTATAAAGGATGACTTATGTGAACAATGTTTTGTTTGAAATAAAAAGAACAGGAAGTATAAACAATCCTAGTATATACATTTCTTATTGTTCCTTGTGCTGTAGACATTATAAAGAAGGGAAGAACAATAAGCCTGTTATAAGCACAGTTTTATTTTTGTAGAGGCCACTTTTAGGTAACAGGCTTGAACAATGGAAACTTGAGCAAGGCCAAAGGGTCCACAGCCTGACCAGTTGACTGAATACAGACAGGCCCATCAGGCGACCCATCTCAAAATATCCACAGGCCCTAACTAACCAATGGGCTACTCACAACCAGGCACAGGTACCAAAACAAGGGAAAATTCCATGGTCCCCATATCTCCTTACCTCCCCCACTTTAAAAACAGCCCCCACCCACTGCCTCCTGGCAGACAGTCTCTACTTTGCTCCCTAGTGGTATATTCAAGAAACTTCTATCCTGGCTCTTCTGCCTCAGGTGAATCCTTCCACAGCCTGCGCCCCAGGCTTCCACCTGATTGGGTCGCCCTACATTTGGGTGCCCCCATCTGATTGGGAGAGATGCCACACTTTCACATGTTGTTAACTCTGTTACAGTTAGGTAGGTTACCTGTGTTTCCAACTTTATACTTTCAGCTCTTAGGTAAGTTTCAGTGTCACTTGCAAGTAGATATGAATAGGGCAGAACATAATCCTTTTCTTGATGAAAAATGGTGTAATTGGGTAAATTATTTTGATTGAGATGGAGACACTATTCAGACTACAACATTAGCTGGTGTTCAGGTTAGCCTTGATGTATGCCCTGCCTATATACATTACGATTCTATTTGTCTATCTCTAATATTCTATACAGGATGAAACAGGCTGGTCTCCTGGTGTAAAGGGGGGAGTGTTACTGGCCTTGTGTGGAAAGTTCTTATTTCTAGTTAAAATAATTGAAGTTGTAAAACCAGAAAATCAATAATTATTTATTATACAGAAATGTGAAAACCCTATGCATTAAAGAAGGTGTTTTGCAGAGAATACTATACAGATTCAAACTGAAGACATTCTCATTGAGATACAACATAAAAATAAACACTGACCAAGTGTTGCAAGAAAGAACTCGACTTCTACCCCCCAATCAAGCTAACACTTTCCAGAACAAAACCTGGTTCAGAAAGGAAAACTAAGCCATGTAGAGATAACACATGGACTGCTTTTGTACTTTCAGAGTGCCAAACTGAAGCTCTACTCAGCTGCACGTTTAGAACTCATTTCATGCTAAAATTCGTATCTCTAGTCATATAAGCAATACCTGAAAGTGAAAAACAAAAACAATGATTGTTGATTTGGGGAATTCCGTGGGGCTACGCAGGTTTGGGGGAGGAGATGAAAGTTACAATCATTCATTCGTTTCAGATCAGGAAGAGTTGATATCAGGTCTGGGTTGTCTGTATGAGCCCTTTGACAGCCTGCTTCTCTGTAATGGTCAAAAGCTGAGTATAGATCTCCATGTTGAGTGTAGAGATTAAATAAACAAATCTTAAAAAAATATTTGCATAGTAAATGCCTGAACTTAGCACAACTTGGTGCCTGTCCTCTTTATATTCCCAAATAGTAGACTTTATGTCAACATGCATTTCATACCAAATTGTCCATCAAAATAGTATTTTTCTTAATCTTCTCTTAGCACTCACTACTGAATTGAAAAAACTGAAAAGTTTTGAGAGATTTGGCTAGAAAGATGGTTATATTGAAACAAGACTAATGACTAGGAGGTTATCTATGGACTAAATACAGACAAAACTACTTCTAGAACCCTTAAATACGGACAGAATCTATCAATTTATGAAGGAAGCCAAAAACAGGGAACAAGAAGATCTGGAGTTTAGATACACTGTCTGGACTCAGGATGCTGCTATTAGGCAACTGAAATTTATAATTCCCTCAATTTGATCAGAGCAGAGACATATAGAGTACATCTGGAGGAATCAGGACAATCATGAGCTAAAGGGTGGAAATTCTCATGCCACCTCCCTCCCTTATAAATTGGAATGCTGATTATATGAAGGACGTGGCTGAGAGACCCATTTTTTTCATTCAGACTTTTGCCCTGATGAACGAGGGAGTAGGATAATGCTAAGAGAGAGTACAGAACATATTTCTGATTCTAGGACTGTGAGAACCAGGTAAGCAAATTTGCAATATTCTCATTAGGTTAGAAAAGGAAAGCTGAAAAATCATTAGAGGGACATATAATCCCAGAGACCATCTGCTCCAAAAATTAGTTTTGTTTCTACTGCCCAGACAGTTATTTCAATAACTATAATCCTTAGTAGAGTCTGAGAGACAAAGACTGTGAAAAACGTGTATTTAAGATAGAAAACAGGGCGTCTGGCTGGCTCAGTTGATAGAGCATACAACTCTTAGTCTCAGGGTAATGAGCTCAAGTCCCATATTAGATGTGGAGTCCACTTAAAAAAAAAAGAGAGATAGAAAACAAACCTTAGAAATCTTAATTAATGGTTTGCTCTACATCTCATTCACATTTTGTGGCTGGAGAACTCCAAATCCCACTTAGATATTCCTGTTTATCCAAAAGCACACTGGATGGAAGCAAACCAGGAATGAGAGAAAGTGATAATTGTGTGTGTGTGTGTGTGTGTGTGTGTGTGTGTGTGTGTGTGTTCACCTAGTTTATTCACCTCTGCAGTGGAAATTTAGGGAGAAATAAAGTCTGCTTACAATGGTCAAGGTTTACGGAGAAGCCCTGAAGTTGGCTCTCCCCAAATCATAAGTCTGATTCAAGAGAAGGAAAAAAAAAAAAATACAAACAAAAAACGATGAAAAACATCTCATCACACAAAACTCCGTGTGGTGTCTCTGACAGTCACGAGCCAGCAGGGGAAAAAGGAGAAACCCACCCACTGGCTTTAGGATTTATTGAAGGCTGCCAGCACAGCCCAGATCATCTCTGTGGCACTGTGCTTTGTCCCCTCCACTTCAGGGTCCAGTTCTACTAAGTCCTTGGCTCGATTCATTGCCACATCATACCTGTCATCTGTCAGAGAGGAGAAGACATTCTCTAGCACGTCAGAGGAGTGGGCCAGCACCAGGAGCGCTAGTGTTCGTTTGTCCATACGCTGGGGGTCATTCACCCACCGCTCTAGGACACTATCTTGAAGTTTTTTCACTAGTCGCTGTTTCTCTGTTGTATTGGTCACTGGATGAGTAGTCATGTCAAATAGGAGGAAATTCTGCTTCTCTGTGGTTAGAATACCCTTCTCTACTAGGTTCTTTGCAATTCGTTCTCTCACATTTCTCAGTTGGTACTGTAATTTGAAGGGGTTCCAGGTCTCACCTTTGGGAAAAAACAAATGGAAGACTTGAACAATATGCTAAGCCAACTAGACCTAACAAGACATCTGCAGAACATTCCACCCTAACAGCATAATACATACCCTTCTCAAGTACACGTGGCATACTCTACAGGATAGACCATTTGCTAGGCCATAAAATCAGCCTTAATAAAAGGACCGAAAACATACAAAGTATGCTATCCAACCACAATAGAATTAAACTAGAAATTAAATACAGGAGACAATTTGGGAAATTCAAAAATATGTGGAAATTAAACAACAAACTCCTAAATAACCAATGGGGTCAAAAAAATCACACTCAACTCTGAGTTGAATGAAAACTTATGTGATGTAGCTTAAACCAGTGCCAAGAGAGAAAGATATGACCCCAAATGGTATGCTAGAAAAGATATTAAATAAATCAATAACCTAACTTCTACTTTAAAAAACTAGACAAAGTAGAACACAATAAACACGAAGGAAGCAGAAGAAAGGAAATAATAGAGATTAGAGAGGAGATAAATAGAAACAATGAAAACAATAGAGGAAATCATTAAAATCAAAGGTTGGTTCATTGAAAAGATCAACAAATTGACAAACCTAAAATGACAAAGAAAAAAGAGAGAAGAGTCAAATCACTAACATTAGGAATTAGAGAGGAAACATCACTACTGACCTTAAAGAAATAAAAATGGCAGGGGGTGCCTGGGTGGCTCAGTCGGTTCAGTATCCGACTCCAGCTCAAGTCATGATCTCACAGTTCGTGAGTTGGAGCCTTGCTTCAGGATTCTTTCCCTCTTCCTCTCTCTCTCCCTCTGCCCCCTGTGGGATTCTCTCTCTCTCCCTCTGCCCCTCATGAAATGCTCTCTCTCTCTCCTCCTCTCTGCCCCCCCAAAAAAGTAAATAAAAAAAATCAAATTGAATTTCTAGTCATTAGCAACAATCTGAAAATAAATTTTTTCTCAATTTTTGTAGTTGTTTTCTTACAATTATACTCATAATAGCATCAAAAAGAACAAAATAGTTAGGACTATATTTAACAAAAGTAGTATAAGACTTACACATTGGAAATTACAAAATATTGTTGAAAGAAATATCTAAATAAATGGAAAGGCATCCATGTTCATGGATTAGAAAACCTGATATTATTATTGTTTTTAATTTTTTTTTTTAAATTTTTTTTTTTCAACGTTTATTTATTTTTGGGACAGAGAGAGACAGAGCATGAACGGGGGAGGGGCAGAGAGAGAGGGAGACACAGAATCGGAAACAGGCTCCAGGCTCTGAGCTGTCAGCCCAGAACCTGACGCAGGGCTCGAACTCACGGACTGCGAGATCGTGACCTGGCTGAAGTCGGACGCTCAACCGACTGCGCCACCCAGGCGCCCCTTAATTTTTATTTTATTTTTGAGAGAGAAACAGAGCACGAGTGGGGGAGGGCAGAGAGAGAGAGGGAGACACGGAATCTAAAGCAGGATCCAGGCTCTGGCTGGGCTCAGCACAGAGCCCAATGCGGGGCTGGAACTTATAGGCTGCGAGATGATGACCTGAGCTGAAGTCGGACACTTAACCAACTGAGCCACCCAGGGACCCCAGAATACTTAGTATTTTTAAGATAGCAATATTCCCCAAATTGATCTGCAGATACAATATAATTCCTATTAAAATCCTACCTTAGGGGCACCTGGGTGGCTCTGTCGGTTAAATGTTCAACTCTTGATTTCAGCTCAGGTCATGATCTCATGGTTCGTGAGTTTGAGCCCTGTGTTGGGCTCCACACTGACAGTGCAAAGCCTGCTTGGGATTCTTTCTCTCTCCCTCTCTAAACAAATAAACTTAAAGAAAAAAAACGAAAAAGAAAAAAAACACTACTTTGCTTGATTGCCGAAACTGACAAGCTGATTCTATAATTCATACGGAAATGCAAAAGACCCAGCATGGCCAAAAAAATATTGAAAAGGAACAATAAAGTTGGAGGACTCACATTTCCTGATTTGAAAACTACTACAAAACTACAATAATCAGGGAGCCTATGTGGCTCAGTCGGTTAAGTATCTGACACTTGGTTTCACCTCAGGTCCCGAACTCATGTTTCATGAGTTCGAGCCCTACATTGGCCTTCCTGCTGATGGTGTGGAGCCTGCTTGGGATTCTCTCTCTCCCTCTCTCTCTCTGCCTCTCCCCTGCTCACTCTCTGTCTTTCTTGAAATGAATAAATAAACTTAAAAAACCAAACACTACAATAATCAAGAGAGTGCATAGGGGTTGCCTGGGTGGCTCAGTTGGTTAAGCGTCTGACTTTGGCTCAGGTCATGATCTTGTGCTTTGTGATTTCAAGCCCTGCATCAGGTTCTCTGCTGTCAGTGCAGAGCCTGCTTTGGATCCTCTGTCCTCCTCTAGGTGCCCCTCTCCTACCTATTCTCTCTCTCTCTCAGAAATAAATATTAAAAAAAAAACAAAACAAAACAAAACAGTGAGAGAGAGAGAGAGAGAGAGAGAATAAGAATAGACATAGAGAGGGGCACCTGGGTGGCTCAGTCACTTAAGCATCCAGCTCAGGTCATGATCTCATGGTTGGTGGGTTTGAGCCCCGTGTTGGGCTCTGTGCTGACAGCTCAGAGCCTGGAGCCTGCTTTGGGTTCTGTCTCTGTCTATCTGTCCCTCCCCTGCCTGTGCACGCACGCATCCTCTCTCTCTCTCTCTCTCTCTC